CCCCAAAACCCCAAAACCCCACTATTTGAATTAATGATGGATTGAATGGAATGATGAAATTAAGAATTATTATAATAAGTGGCTATCATTTGAGGTTATTAACATCAAAGCTTACTCTTTTCTTATCATACTCCTAGGATGAAAGTTTAGATAGAAGTTAATGTTGACTTTAAGATGTTACTAATTAATAAGGATTATCTCTTTTCGTATTGGAATATCTTCCCTCTGAGTTTAAAGTATTTTTTGATTATAATCTTTGATTTAGGCCTGATGATTTATAAACTGATTACGATTAGAAAGATGATTTGTTAGCACACTCGCATTTTTTCTTGGTTGTCATACAGTTGCAAGTGCAGTTTCGATCTTCACCTTAACAAAATCTGCACTTATTGTCTTGCTTCATTGTAAATTGTCTAGATCTTTTAGATTCTCTTGCTTTTCTCTTCAGACTAAAATCTGAAGGTGAAGTTGTTTAGTCTTGAGTTGATAAAAATAAAGATTTATTGAAGTTAGTATCAATTTTAACTTCATTAATGTCATCATCCTCAGTCTCCTCATCAGTTTCCTCATCATCAACGTCCTTTACCTTTTTGAATATCGTATTTTTAGGGAAAAGAATCAAGTCAATAAAGTTTCTACATGGTCTTTCACAAAGAACATAAAAAGGAATTGATATTAAGTATGAAAACATAGCTGATGCTATTCCAATTTAAAATAAGTAGCTCAATGTTAGTATAATGTCCTATTCTCTAGATGCAAAGTACCATGATACTATAACAAAATGAAGCAGATATGCAGAGTAGGTGAGCTCTTCAAGAATTTGAAATAAGTGAGAACTGACCAAAGGTCTCAAAATGTCAGATAAATTGATCATCGAAGGAATAATAACAAGAATAATTCCCGTGAAAAACATAGGCTGGCAAAGGACATTGTAAAATGCAGATACAAGTGGTGGCCAGCAATAGTTCAAAGCTTTGAAAGTCATATCTGGTACTGGAGACTGATCAACACAAGCAACATTGCTTAATTAGATCAAAAGTGGGAATAGAATTAATGAAAATCCAACTGTATAGAGAATGGCATAGCAATATTTCTTCTACTTGAGATTGATCAAGAATTTCTTATGAAATGGAAACGAGCCATCATTCAGTTTATCGACATATTTATATTCGAATTTTAAGATTGCCAAAGCAATTCCACATAAGAATAGAGGGATTCTATAGAAAAGTCTTGATAAAATTTCTTATGCCATTTTAGTGTCTATATTAGGAAACGAATTAACTTTCTTGGTAAATGTGTAATAAAAGGTAGGTATAAAGGAAGCGCCAAAAGCAATAATCAAGAATGATATAATAAAGACTTTTCTGTAGGTATTTTTGTATAGATACAAGTATAAAGGGATAAGGGTAAGTACCATTTGCACATCATTTGAAAAGAAAGTCAAAGCTAATCCGCATTGATCGCTCAAGTTCCATGGATAGAAATTATTTATCAAAAGAAGGTTAGTCCACCAATATTTTTTGCAAGTATTAATAAAAATCTACTCACTCATGAAAGCATATAATGGACCACTTCCAAGGAATGGAAAGAAAGCAACCATAATAGAGGTAATTAGTACCATTGATAAGAAAAACATAATGATAGTTCTGATAGCAAATATAACTACGTTAAAGTTTTATCTCTTCACATAAATGCAAATCAAGTTTTCATACATGTGATGGAAGCCTGAGTAAAAATAGAATAAACCGAATCCATAAATTTAACCTTGTAATAAGATCACACTGAAGAAATTCGTTGTCACTTCTGGATAGTCACCTTAGTTTTAAGGAAAAGCTTTGAATGCAATACCCAAAACGAAATTAAAGCTTATCCAGATGAATCCAAATACTTTTAAAGCTCTCATGTAACTAACCTTTTTTGCATTATCAAGATCATAGAATAAACTTGTGAGATTTCTAGGAATGCTAAAGCATAATAAGAATATAGCCCAGATTTTTTTGCGATTTAAAATAAGTCTGTCAATCTGGGATAGTAATTCAATGTATTATTGTTTGCCTTCTTTCTCAGAAAACTTGACTTAAAAATTATGAGATTTATTCTAGATGTCTCCAAATGAAGTGTATTAGACTAGGACACCAAGTATTGAGAGTAAGATCGTTGAAATAAATAAACCCCACATTACATAGTACCCAGGTGCAAAGCTATCTTATAATTATTATAAATCATCAGAGGGTTTTTTATAGGAATTGGATACTGCTTAATTCATTTTTTCAGACAAAGGACTCAAGTAAGCTATTTAGTCAAATACTTTAATGTATTCGGTGGGGCACTCTTTCATCATACATTTGCCAACCATATAATAATTTATAGGCTCAACTGTCTCCAATATTTGTAGTGAGTAGTAATAGGAATTATTACTAGCTTGCTCACAAAAAGAGTAACTCCCAAGTTCATTCAAGTATTTGCCGCTAGCCCCAAAATTATCAAAGAAAATGTCTCCATTGATCATTGTGCCAAAGAGAGCTGCCTTACAGCTTTTATTTTCCTCTATTGTTGAACAATTAGCCAATTTTAGAGCAAGAGAAGAGGTAATCAACCCATAAACATGAATTTTCATTTTTATATTGGATTATTATAATACTTTTAATAAAATTTGCAATATTTAATGCTCTTGGGGTTTTGGGGTTTTGGGGTTTTGGGGTTTTGGGG